TTATTATTATTATTATTATTATTACCTCCGCCAAGAGGTTGGCAGGAGGTATGTTTTCAACCGGCGTGTGTTTGTTCGTTTGTGGGTTTGTGGGTTTGTGGGTTGTTGTGTACAGCTTAACTGAAAAAAGTTAGGGACGGATTGTCAATAAAATTTTTATGATAGGTAAAAAATGGCTAACTTAGATATTGATGCGAGTATTTTGGTGGTGATCCGGATGCCAATTAATTAATTAATTATTAAATTAGATAACATTGTTTAGATAGGTGCCAGAAATGGGGTAAGCTTAAAATGATTACATTCTTTGTGGTGATCGGCGGATCCAATTACATTCAATTTGATCTAATTGAATTAATTAAATAAAATTTTCAGGATACGTCAGAAATACGGTAACGTTAGAATTGATCGAAGATTTTGGTGGTGATTCCGGATCCAATTAATTAAATTAATTACATTAATTAATAACATTTTTAGGATAGAGTCAGAAATGGGGTTAACGTTAAAATTGAATTACATTTTGGTGTGATCCGGATGCCAATTAATTAATTGATTAAATTAAATTAATTAATAAAATTTTAGGATAGTCAGAATCGGGTAACCTTAGAAAATTGATTAGCATTTGGGTCGTCATCGCGGTTCCAATTAAATTATTTAAATTAATTAATTAATTAATAAAAAAATTTCAGCGAGCTGACAGAATTCAGACTGCCTTGGCGAGGTCTGTGCTAATATATAATAATAATAATTAGTATTATTATTATTATTATTATTATAAACCGCGATAGAGAAATATGGCATTGTCTATTATTTAACGAGGAAGAAATTGATAGATAGATTATGGATGGACGGATGAAAGCGCTACATACAGACGGCGACTGACCCCGGACCGATACGAACAGACCAAGACACAGAATCAGGACGGAACGGGCGATTCGACGGATCGGCGGACGGACGACGAGCGGACGGACGGACGGGCGGACGGGCGGACGGACGGACGGACAGGCGGACGCACCGACAGACGGACGGATGGACGGACGGACGAACAGACAGACAGACAAATAGGCAGGAAGATTAGTAGCTAGGCAAGTGAACCAGATTAAGAAGATAACGGAATTAAAGAGATGAAATGCGAGAGAGAAGCAGGAATACGGGGGAGGGATGGAGAGAAAGAGAGAACAAATAAATGAAAAAAGATAAGAGGTAGCACACAGCTATTGCATATATAGGTTATGTATGCAAACGAGGCCCTATAAATCTAGTCCTGCTTTATTGGAAGAATAAGCGATTCATTTACCCGGAGCTTACCATTAATAAATCTGCTAAACCTTAGTTTAAAAAGTCTATCGAGCAAATCAAAGGGAGTGTGTTCTCGCATTTTATTAGGTCATAAACATTTTAACGTATCTTCTAACTTCGTGGCACGTGCCGAACAACGTTTTAGATGGCACTGCCCGTACGTTACTATATTATATGTTTATATAACGTTTCAGTGTAAATGGTGGCTCACTATTTTATGTATCCATTCGCGTTGTGACGTGTGCGATGCGTCATTAAATTC